AAGTTGATATATTACTTAATCTAGTGATTTAACACACTTCCATCCGTGAAATCATTCCAAATGGCTAGATCTTTAAGTTTCACCAAGAACACCAAGAACACACACTAGTGTTCTTGGACTTTTAGCACCTTTTCAAGCCTCTATCTTGTAAGTACTTCTATCCTAGAGTATCATAAGGCTTGTTATACTTCTAAACATCAAGAAAACACCCAAGAAGGTCAAGATCAAAGGTGTTTACGGTCCAAGATGTTCTTGGACCGTAAACCCTAAAAAGGGTGCCAAAGTGTGCCCTAGTCCCTTCTAAGCCTTGGAAACAAGCATAGATCCTTTCCTTGATGAGCTTAGCACTTGGAAACATCAAAAGACCATAAACCATATGGGTTTTAAAGCCGTAAAGAAAATGGTCTAAGGACCGTAAACTCCATTTAGGAGTGAAATGGTGCCCTAATCACTTCCATAGGCTTATACTTCAAATAGAAATGCTTCTAAGGACTTGTAGAGCTTCAAAACAACACTTGGTCAAAGAAGCATGAGTTTACGGCCGTAAAATCATGGGTTTACGACCGTAAACTCAATGAGTTATGGTCATAAAACCGTAAACTCAAATAAGGGGTTCCCTTGAACCCTAAACTCAATAGCAATGTCCTACAACACTTAGATGCAATCCTTAGGACTTATAGCACTTATACAAGGTGTTTTACATGTCCTAGGATGTCTTAACTTTGTTAATTAGTTGTTTAAAGACTAATTGGATACATATATGTGATATTATATGTTAACTAGGATCACTGAGTGGGTACAAGTCTTCACTTGACACTTAGCATCCTATACAGTCCGTTCATCCAAACAACTCACTACAGGTGAGTTCATACCCCTTAATTAACCTTTTAAATGTTTTTAAATGCTTTTATATGGGGGGGGGGGATACAAGTTGAACTATGATAGTTATTATATCAATCACATGTGATTAATAACTACCAAACAAGTGGATTTCTTACTTTTCAAACTGTGTTATCAAACTGTTTTACTTCAAACTGTTTTACAAACTCTTTTACATACCAAATGCTTTTAACAAACTGCTTACAAATCGTTTTACAAACTGACATCAAGTCATCATTTCTTAGTTATTAAACTTTTCAAAGGTTTCACAAAACTTCTTTTATACTTTAAATATTGTCAAATGCATGCCTATATATGTATATTTATATAAGTAATGCTTAAAGGACTTAGGACGGCTAGCTCGCTTTATTTCCTTTTCCTCGTTGGGATGTGGTCTCAGGGCATCAGTTATTCATCCGAATGTCGTCTAAATATTAGTTATATATCATGTATACATATATAGACATAAAAGTTCCATCGGTCCGTTCAATACCTTTGGGTAGCAAAGGTATACACACATGTTCATATACACAAACAACATTACTAGTAAACTATAATAGGTATAGTTTAGGAAGATACTATTACTAGAACAATGAAACATACAATGAGTCAGTTCATTCATGAGTAATGCATAGTGATGAGAAACAAACATAAATACATAGTGATGAGAAACAAACGTAATACAGAGTGATGAGAAACAAACATAAACACATAGTGATGAGAAACAAACATAATACACAGTGATGAGAAACAAAACATACAAGCTAGACAGAGAAAGAACACACAATACAGCTAGCACATACATATACATATACATATACATTACATACAGTTATGTGAGCCACTTAACGGGGGACATGGCACTACCTGTCATGACCCGTTTTGTATCCAGAATCTCCTTAATTGGGGAGCGTATGAGTTTGTGTATAGATCTATACTGGATTGACTATCCTACACCTTGCTGCTCGCTACAGTGGGACTTGCAAGTCTACGGGTGCCAAACGTCATTTCTTACGACGTCTTACATCGTCGTTTTACTATAGAGTCGGTAGCAGTATACAGACCGATCACATGGTACTTTAAATAACAATAGGTTTAAAGTAATTAGTACAGCAGTAGTTACTTAATACAACACTACAGTACTATTTCATTTTCCCTTTACATTTACCTTGTGACATTCACACAATAAACAATAATGTAAGAACTATATTCTTGGTTAATGATAGTCAGATTTGGGAAAATACACACTCTTACAAGAGACACACACACAGATACTAGATGCCTTGGTAGAAGGCTACTTTTAGTAGGAAACATAGGGTTTTCTAGGAGAGTTCAAACAATTACAAACTTTTACAAAAACTTATACATTACAGACTTACAAACACTTTCATACAAATACAGACATTAATATACTTATGATCCCACCAGCTTTAAAGCTGATAAACTCTTTCAAAATAACTTGTATCCTCAGGTCGCCAGTAGACAGGTACCGGAGCCAGGTTTTTGAGAAGATGGAGCTCGTCCAAGACTCATCTTTTATTTTGATGTATATTTTTGGTGTCTATATAACTTGACAGAACACACGTGTATGAAATTATATTATTAATGCAATGGATGATGTTGTTGCTTGCTTACTACTTTGCATTGTTGTGATACTGAACATGACGTCCTCCACCCCCGAACGTTTCCGCCGTTCCGGTTTTGGGGTGTGACAGTAAACCCCAATCCATACACTTAGGCTTATGATCCATAACACACATTGACTAACTCTTCATGGAATCTCACATAAACTTAGTTCATCATGGATCAATAACCCAAACGATATGTATCAATGATTTACATAATCAGTCCCCGTTAATTTAATTAGTCTCTTTTGATCACTAAATTAATTCCAAATAAATTCTTGATCAATACTAATTAAATAATATGATTTCTCAATAAATATATTATACTTATAATATATTAATTAATCACAATAACCTCTTTCTCAAATATTCATCCTATCAAATTGTTCCAGAGAGTTGCAACCCAAATAGATCATGCTTATATCGGGTCAAGTACATACCAATCATAGTTATGGCCTTAGACACCTAATCTAACAGAAACTCTATTTACGTTGAGCATACTTCTGAGTACGCCCAACGTATTGCCCAAAAAATCACATTAAACTCTTATTGGGTTAAGTTAAAGGCATCCAACCACTTCTCTTAACCCTAAATGATGTCTTAAACCATAAAGTCGAAACCTTTAAGCCTTTGCATGGCAAAAGAGGGCTAAATCTCCAAAATCCTTCCTTTCACAACACTCAAAACCACTTAACTCTTGCATGGTGCTGGGAAAAACTTGTTTCTATACTCTTGAACATTTATTCTATTTACATGAAATAGCATTGAATTTGTTGAAAAAACGTTCTATGTGGCCATCATTCTCAACAATTAGCACCCATCTCCAGTTTCCCATATAACTACAATGAGAAGTGAATATACTAATCACCAATTTCCGATATAACTGCAATGAGAAGTGGATATACTAAGACAAGAACAACTACAAAAACTAATAATAAAAAAAATCTTAAGAAAGACACAGATAAAAACCAACATGCAACAGTGATTACTATAAGAATAAATAAGCAAAACCCACCGACCTAAAAAAACATACAACCCCTTAGGAAGTCGACGAACAACAAGTTCACAATAACATGAATACATAAAGCATGTGTAGCGGTTTTGCTTGTAAGAGGGACGAATTGTGTTCTTGCACCACCACTAAATCAAACTCAATTTTCAAAAAGTTCACAAATCAACCAAATTAATTAGAAGACCAGAAGCGAAGAATGAAAGGAAACAGATTTTAGAAGAGTTCAAAAAAAATATGAAAATGTAAATTACATTAAATTAGAACATTAAATGTTGTAAATGGGCAAAAAGTTCAAAAAAATATTGTAAATGTCAAAAAGAAATCACAAATAATAAAATTATGTTAAATAATAATCAAAATAAAAAAATATATTATTATAGTACTTAATTATTTTAAAATAAAGAAAAAACATATATGTTTGCTTTATTTAAAGCTTGATGCGAACATGTATGATGTAATCATTTATTATCTAAACAAAAAAGCGTTCGTTGAATTACTTTGGGTCGACTTTTGTATCTTCTATCATCCCTATTTGATAGGTTCAGGTAGTTCCTACTAAAATTAATGTTCAATTTCTAAAAACCAAAACCGAATGATTTTTCAACCCCAAAACATTGAAATCGAATAATTTTCTAACCTAAAGAACCGAAACTAAACCATGGAAACAAAATGTTTTTTCAACAAAAAAAACTCAAATATTATGGTTTCGCATCCACATATATCGATATAGATGTATATTTATAAAGAATAACTATTATAAATTTTGATACATTGATATAGCTGATGAACATAAGATCTAAAAACTATTAAAAAAACGATACCGTTCGTGATGTTTTTTGTGGCCGGGTTTTTCTAAATTCAAAAAAAAAAAATGGAAGGGGGGGGGGGGGGGGGGGGGGTCAAAACCGTGTTATAAAATTGTGGGGAGTCCTATAATTTTTACCAATGGACGCGTAAGCTGATAATCAAAATTTTGTCATTTTTATATTATTACTTATTAACCAAAACTTAGAAAAAGAATTTGAGAAGCAACGAAAATGATATCAAAGTCAATCAATGCTAAGTTTTAGGTCGAAGTGGCCCATCAACCGGTAGGAATGTGGTGTTTGCGCCTTTTTGGTCTAGGTCCTAGGAAACAAAAAAAATTCCATCAAGCCCAATATGGTCTTGTACTTATCTTTCTCAAAGAAAAGAAGAAGAAACAGCCGTACTTCATGACATCAATTTTAAAGTTTTTCATTTGATGAGATCACACTTCAATATTCATTATAGTTTTAAAAAAATATGTTACAGATTTTCAGCTATTATTGATCACCAAAAGAGTAGTCAAATCAATACAAAGTCGATTTATTATTTATTTTTTCTTATAGTTTTATATAATATTGATCACCAATCAGCCAAATTATTACCAAAAATAATGTCCAATTATTACAAAACCATATTATTCTTCAATCTTTCTTATGGTTTTAGATAACAATATGGAAAGCACAAATCATGGGCTCCCTTTAAGTTTTTTGGTGATTGTAGCGATGTATTTACCCTGATGAAAAGCTTGTTGGAGCTCAAGCTGGGATGGTTGTCTAGAACCATCCCCAGCGAAAGTCCCTGCACCGTAGGGACTTCCGCCTTTCACATTCTCCATTTCAAACATACCCGCACCAAAAGTATATCCAATTGGTACAAAAATCATCCCATGGTGAACAAGTTGAGTAATTGCTGTCAATCTGTTATGACCAACATGTGTCAGAATATATATATATATATATATATATATATATATATATATATATATATATATATATATATATATATATATATATATAATTTTTGGTCCTTGATTGGTCCCAAAAATATTTTCTCTTGCAGTTTTGGTCCTTCATTTTGTTTTTTAGTCATCGTTTAAAGTAAAATGGATATAACCAAAAATGCAAAAATTAGCAATAAGTGGGGACCAAAAATAATTTTAATTGGAAATGCAAACAAAAACATTACAAGGAACTCAAATAAGCACCAAAACTATATGAGAAAAAATTTTGGGACCAAAATTGCAAATATCAGTTATAGTTACGGACCAAAAATAATCATTTTACTTGGATTTGGAACAAAAAAGAATCATGAGCGTCAAATAACGACCAAAATTGTAAGAGAAAATTTATTGGGAGCAAAATGGCAAAAGTCAAAGATACTCACGAACCAAAAATAGTTTATTTTACTTGGAACTCTGACAAAAAACATTACAAAACCTCAAATAAGGACCAAAATTGAAAATGATTTTTTTGGAACAAAATTACAAATATAAACTATAGTTGGGGACCGAAATAGTCATTTTACTTTGGCATAACAATAACAAGAAGTCAAGAACCTCAAAAAAGGAGCAAAATTACAAGAGAAAAAAAATGGGACCAAAATTGCAAAATATCAGCAGCTATACTCAAAGACCAAAAACAGTCATTTTACTTGGAATCGGGACCAAAAACATTATAAGAACCTCTGATAAGGACAATAATTGTAAGAGAATATTTTTTGGGACCAAAAATGCAAAAATCAGATATATTCAGGGACCAAAAATGTAATTTACTCTTGAATTTTTAAAGGAAAAATAGAATTAGGTACTTACGGAGTAGTTTCTTGGCCACCACCTTGACACCCACTGCTATAAAAGATACCAGCAGGCTTCCCAGCAAGCTTTTGTGTTCTCCAAAGTCCACCAGTGGAATCAAGAAATGCTTTAAATTGAGCAGCCATCATTCCAAATCTTGTTGGGAATCCAAAAATAAATCCATCTGCTTCAGGGAGTTCTTTTGGTGTGATTATTGGTATCTCACTCTTAGGAGGTGCACTCATTTTCCCAAGTGCCTCAGCATTCAGTGTCTCAGGTACCTAAAACAGATCAATAAGAAATTAATTAAAAGTGTTCAATTTAATTAACCAGTGGTTTTAAGGATAACAAGTTAAAATTAGGAATGATATTTACTTATATATATTTACCTACCTGACATAATTTGGGTTCAACTCCTTCAACAGATGCAGCCCCTTTCTTTATCTCTTCAGCTAGCTTCTCTACATGTCCATAAGTGGAATAATACCTAACATAATTAAGCATCAAATTACTGTCAGACTTCTCTCTTTACCTCAAGAACTCATGTAATTTAGCATGATCATGCCATCTAATTAAACTCAAGGCAACATTTATTCATCTAACACATTTATGATAAACAGAAGCTACCAAAAAAGAAAAGTTATAGATCTTATTATATCATTCACACTAACAAAATTTCTACTCTACTTTGATTGATTCAATTTGGCCATCTTTGCTAATTGCTAAACATTATTTCTTACTTGATTTGTTATTCGAATCTCATGAATATCATGAATTATTTGTTGTAATAATGTAAATTGATATCTTAGAGGTTTAATCTACAATGAGATCACAATTAGAACGATATTAGATAAAGTAAATCTGATAAATTTCTGTCACCTACAAACAAAAAAAGCAATGCGAATTGGAGATGCTCCTTTCTCTCCTCAGCCATTATTCACCAAACACACACAATCGTCGATCATTGATTTTCAATATTGCACATTGAAATATACTCCAACCTAAGCAGATAACTAGAATGAAAGTAAAAACTAGCTGAACTAAACCGCGTAAAAGCGAGAAAAAAAAATCATAAAAACGAATAATCATCGTTAAACCAACCAGCATCAAGGGAGAGAGAATACTTAATTAACTTACACAATATACAACTTAGTAGCCATTGATGAATCCACCTGCGTAGCTTCCGATTCCGATCGTCGATTGAGTTGAGAGAGCAACAACGAGCAGTGAGTTCAGTCAGTTCCCCCTCTCTTTGACTTCACAGTCCTTCCTCCCCCAATTTATACTCGCATTTTCGGGCTCGTAAACTAACCAATTAGTGTCTTTTCGTGAAACGACATCGTTTTGAGTGAGAGAGTTGTCCAAGACTCCAAGATATGATTGTGGGGCCATGGTTTAAATAATGATGGGTTTTGGTGTCATGAACCAACATCATTTTTATTGCGAGCGACGTCTCCGATAAAAAAGGTAAAACAAACATACGACACATATACCAAATTTGGTTTTATATTATTTGTATTGCATTAAAAGTTTAAAATATCAAAATTGGTTCATTTATAAACTATTAAATATAAAATATCTAAAAACTAAAGTTAATGCGGCCTAGTCGGGAAAAAACATGGGTTTTATACTCATATGAGGTTGAAGGTTGAGAGTTTGACTCCCGCAAATCCTTTTTGAAGTTGATAAAAATGTTTTATCTCCTTATGTGGGGAATTTCTCCATGGAATCGTCATGAGGTTGTATCTACCCTATTGGATGATTCGATCTTGGGTTTTCGTTGAAATAATACGAAGGGGATTCCGTTGAGACATGCAGTCATTCCCCCAAAGTATCAGCACAACACAACAAACAAGCATACAATATGAGCAGCCAACCTGATTGGATTGTCTCGTAAGGCCTACAACATATTTGGACCGTTCTACGAGCCTTCAGCATGACTGGAATGCTTCACATGGCTACAGCCTACCCGGACCGCTCTACGAGCCTTTGACATGACTGGACCGCCTTGCAAGGCCTATAGCCTATCCGGACCGCTCCACGGGCCGTCGGCCTGACTGGACCGCCTTGTAGGGTCTACAACCTATGCGGTCCTCCCCGGGTATCTTGGCCTACAACACAAAGCAGGACCGCCTCAACCCAACACAACATGTCGACATATGCAACAAATAAACATAAACACAGAGCTAGAAAATACAAATAATCATACGGATCTACTGAATAACTACAACTATCTTATCATTATCCTGACCAGGATAAATAATCTAGTGGGCGGACATTGGTGCCTTCAACCCACAGGTACAATGAGGAAAGCTCACCTCTCAGTTTGAATGCAAGCTGAATAAATCTCGGTCCTGAAAATCGGTTCAACGATCACCTAACCAAAACCGAGGACCTAATCTAAATTAATCAGCTCAAAATACCTAAAATACCCCTAGGTCAATTTGGTCAAAGCCGTGGTGAAAGGTCAAGGTCAATGGGTCAACTCGGTCCTCTTAACTAAGTATGTGGGGCGTACTCATGCTTTGACCGGAGTTGGGCGGTTGACCCCGTACGCGGGGTTACGCACGACGTACGCACAAAATCCATTTTTCCTCAATAAGAGCTTAATGTGTTAAGCTCTCACGTCCCAATCTCAGATCCATGGCCAAAATACCACTAAGAGTCATAAAGTTTCCAACTTTATGACTTTGCATGCCCATTAAGTGCTTAATACATAAAATCCTAACTTCTTAAAACCTTAAGACCTTCTAGAGCATGCATGGGAAAAAACTAAGCATCAAGACCAAATTTTTATGACTCAAGACCCCTCATTAGGTCTTAAAGGACAACTTATTCAACTAAGAGTGTGTCATGCTCAAGAATCATCATAGTTGGGAACAAAAATGCCCTAAATGAAGAAATGGTTATATCTATAAGATAAGATGATCAAGCTATGAGCTTTTTACCTCTTGGAGGTTGCTAGCAAGGAGAGAATCCCATATCCAAGTTGCTTCCAAGCTCCAAAGTCTTCCCACCACCTTCTTCTTCTTAAAAAATACCACTAAAACACAAAGATGAGCTCAAGATGCACTCTTCTCACTTAGGGTTAGTTAGAGGGACGTTTTCTCAGGTGGAGGATGATGAGGGAATGAGAAATGAGGAGTAAATGATGATTATATATGGACCAAACCCTAAAATTTAGGATTTGAGGATCCTTCACATACTCGGTGTACGCCTAGCGTACTAATGCCCGCACATGTACGCCCATCGTAAACAACGTACGCCCAACATACTAAGTCTTGCCCGGAATTTACCAAAATGCCACTATGGGACCAATTTGCAAACAAAACTCATTCCAAGGGCTAAATTATAAACCTTTATACTTAAGAGTTAATTTTGAAATACTTCATTGTCGGGATGTTACAACCTCTACTCCAGCAGACACCCATCCCACCTCTAAACCCACAAGACCCTCACTCACACCCTCAAATCCAACGACACCTACCCATAACCATAAATCTACCACACCCATACTTACACATATACTTACACCTATAGGGCACATCTATGTATGGTGAATGAGGGTCCTATTAGTTTAATAATAGTATAAAGTATACATGGAAAAAAATGGGACATACCTTATATATTTTAAAGGATCCACCTTATAAATTTTGGTAAAGAAAGTATCAAAATGTTTGAAGCCCACATTTTAAATTCCAATCCACATAAAATAGGTCAACGCTTCAATGCACTTAAAATTTAATCATTAGGTAATAACACGTTTCATTGAAAATTAAAACAAAAAAACCAAAAAGGGATTGTAACGTGAAACGCCGGTAGAGGGTTGATGCGTGAAAACATGATCGGCATCTCCTCTGACATATCAGTGTTAATTGCTACCACTAGTCACCATTTCCCCTATTCGACCACTACCACCGCCACCACTAGGTGCTTGTCCTCCGACAGTCCAACCTCCACGTCTTAGTTAGTCTTAATTCTTCAATTACAAAATTTGTTAAGTTAGAGCTCTTGTCTATTTGTCTTGATTCTTTAATTTCAAATTTTGTTTAGAAATTGAAAATTTGATTTTAATAACATTAAGAACACTACTTTTTTCCAATTGTCTTGATTTGTCTATTTCAATTTCATAATTTCTTGATATCATTAATAACATTCAATTTCAATTTAAGGACTTGTAAAGAGTTGAGAATATTGTTTTTGTGTATTTGTGTTGATTTAATGATTTGTCTATTTGATAACAAAACATTGATAATAATTTATTAGTTTGATACCTTTGTAACATTCAATTTCATAATTCAATTTTAGATTCAAGAATGTCTTTTCACAAGTTTTTTAAAAATAAAGAAGGTAATGAACAACATAAGCATACAAATGTTTATTTAAACTCACTGGTTGTTGATCTAACTGAATGACCAAGTATGAAATTTAACCATACGAATCAAAAATAGGAAATTAGACGAACATACTTGCAAAAAGCATATTTCCAACATCACGACCATAACTTAAACCATATGATTTTTGTTTGACTTACATAAAGAACCACGTGATTTTCGATTTTAAATTTTCAACTGCTCATATCCATACCTACTGCACCACACCTACCCCACTTGTACCCACACAACACCCACATCAACCCTCAACCCACCTCATCTATATCTCTACACCCAAATTACACCTACCACACCCTAACCCATCCCATGCTGACTCGTGCCGTCACCCCACCACAACCGTCTGCTATTCAACTCTCATTCACACCCCCAACTACACCCGCCCCCACGCATAACTAGACCTATACTTACTACACCGCACCGCACCCACACCCCGCCCATACTCACATACTCATGTTAATCCTAACCCCCCCCCCCCCCCCCCCCCCCACACACACACACACACTAACCCACCCTACTCACACCACACCAAGCCCACCCCTAATCCCACTCCAACCTCACACCGAACACACCCACATCCACACTTACACCACACCTACACCACATTTACAGATCCACAGATAAGAGTTCAATAAGGTACTGTTTGGTAGATGGACTCCATGGAACAGAACTGGATTGCACTTGACAGAAACAGGACTGGACTTGACATGACAACTAATTTGTATAACGTTTGGTAAGACTGGAACAGAACAGAACAAGTTGTCTGAAACTGTTTGGTAGCAATAGAACTGTACGGAAATAGATGTAAAAATGACCCTATTATCCTTTTGCAAAAAATATTAATAATAACTCTATTTAACATACATTACTTCAAAATTAACATTTTAATTAAAAAAAATTATTTAAAATTCTCATATTAAAACAAGTTGTAATGCCAAATAATCAAAATAAATGATATTAAAAGAAATTAAGTGATACAAAAGCTAATAAAAAATGAATCAACTCTTCCAATTAACAAGTTCAAAAAACTCGGGTACACATACAAAAACTCAGGAGCATTTTCATCCGAAATTGAGTATCTAAAACATGAATTGGGTAAGAACAATATAAAATCATCAGATACCAAACTAGGTAGGAACAATATGCTTAATCAAGCTCCTCCAGAACCAACAAGCATCTCTATCATAAACAGGGCAGGAACAAAAACTCAAGGGCAATTGTGTCCGAATTGTGCAATCCTATGACATCTCTTATGCACTCCCAATGTAATATTTATTTAAGATGATGATGATGATGAGAGAGAGAGAGAGAGAGAGAGGACAACATAAGGCATCAGAGGGTTAAACAATTAAGAGGGTGGAGAAATAGAGGGTGATCTTGATAACAATGTAGTATTGCTTTTTCCAGAATATCACTTGTAAACAACGAATTGAAAATCGGACATAATTTTTCAACCACAAGTTCTCTGTCACGATTATAATGAGAGAAAAACCAAAAAATCAAGGGTCTTTTCTTGTTTATATAAACTAACATTAACTACACAAGCAAATCTTTCCCTCGTTTTCCCTCTCTCTCTCGTTAAAAGTTTAGAAAAGTGTACGCATGAATTCAATGAACATAAATCACAACGTAATCAATAGTGTAATGAATTTTTTTTGTAGGTAAGTCAATAACGAGAAATTAAAAACAAAAATCAGAAGTTAATACATGTAGGTAAGTGAATAACAAGAAAAATTATCAAGAAATCGTTTAGCATGTAAGTAAAGATATGCAGATTATGAAGTTTAATTAAAAACGTACCTTGAGACGATGAGAATCTGATGACCCTGATGAAAAATCGTGATAGTGTGCGACGGTAGATAAGAAGAAAAAGCGGGAATGCATTCCAAGTAGGGTTAATTGGGGAAAAGAAAAGAATGTGTTCCACTTAGTTCCACCTATTTGGGTAGGACTATTTTTTGAATGAGTTGTCCGTAGGGATGAGATTTAGAACCGGAACCGGAATCGGACCGGAACCGGAACCGTTAGAACCAGAATATATAGAACCGGTTCCGGTTCCGGTTCCGGGTTTAAAAAATGGCTTTATCCGGGTTTCGGATAACAAAAGATTCAATACTTTATTCACAGGTTTATAAGCCTTGATACATTGCAGCATATATCCTGATATATAACAAAAGATTCAATATCCTGCTATATAACAAAAGATTCAAAATTTCCGAAGTATAATTTGGTATCATATATTATCTCTAATTCTAATCAATCTTCAAAGATGAACAACCGTTTAAGAATTATATTATATAATATTACAATTAGAAAGACCAGAAAACTATAGATGTGAATTGTTCACCTCCTGTTCAAGAGCTTCTTCCAACAAAAACCCAGATTGCTCCATAAGATCTGGGCTTAATCTGAACATCAAAACACAAAACTCCATCTGATTCAACGCACCATCACCATCATAATCTCCTTCTCTCAACATACTCAACAGATCATCGTCGCTCAGATCCTGTAGCCCCAAAAGCGATGAATTTTTCTTCAAGCTATCGAACGTAATCAAACCTTTATCAGCGTCCATCAACAGTCGGAACCCATTGCATAATTCTCCTATCAAACCATCGCCGCCCAATTTCTCCTCAATCAAAGGTAAATGATCCTGAAACTCGATTTGATTCGTCGATGCCGCCATTAAAGCTTGGAATATCGATTGAAGATTGACAATGAAGAAGTGATTTCACCTTTCATGTATAGATCATATATATATTAAGAGGAAGTTGACCAGTTCCGAAAGGTGGAATTTTGGGGGTATTTCAAGGAAGGTGGAGATCGGTGGCTTTGAAATTGATCGATGAAGGTAGAAATCAATGCCGGGGAAGTAAAGTCGTGATTTTGTTTGGAGGTGGGGGAGGTAAGATGCTTCTTGATTGGGGGAATTTCCAATGAAATTGGTTAAAGTGATCAAGTGAAGTAATCGTTGATGGTGACATATAAGAACACGTCAACCTACCACAAATTAAACGGTTTAGGTCGAATCCACCAACTGAGATCCGACCCGATTTATTAGCCTAAGTAATGCTATCGACTAGACTTAAAGGATATAATATAGTATTTTATTCATGTGTTTCTTGTTTTCTTCATGGGGTAAAGACTTTTGACACTATTCTTTTGAGACCATATAATGCATTCAACGTATAGGCACTCGTTTTCGTTATTTTATTCTAATAGTTAGAAATTAGTATATTTTGAATTTAAAATTGTAAGCAGAGTATATGATAGAAGTTGTTTATGTGATGTATTAAAAAAATTGTAAACTACACCTGAATGATAGATTAAAAAGTATAGACATGTCCGTCGTAACAACTTAGTCATACGAAATTAAGGATCATTGATGAAAAGGGTTTATTTTTCGCTTTTTATCCTTTAGGGATCTCGTTTAAAAGGGGACATTAATAGGGTTGTTTTTCCTACTAAGTTATGAATTTTTCCTTCTAAGCTATGAATAGATGAAGTAACCGAAAGGATAATAATATATGTTTGGATTATATTATAATATAATACCTTTTTTTTCTTGAACATAATAAATCTTCTAAACGGGAATGAAAAGAATCACCACGTATCATTTTTACTTTTTGTTGGGATGTGAAGGCTTGATCAAAAGTGATGGTGGTGGGTAAATATGTTATTGGTGAGCAAATGTTGATATTTTAGTGTTGTCAACATATTTTTGTGTAATTATTATTAATAATGAGATAAGTTGAGCTTCATTTACTAACCGAGTTTGGAGGTGTGTGGATGCACACTTGGTGTGAATTATGAACTCGGGAATACGGGTGGTCCGAGGCAGTGTCCCTGGGTGCAGGGTTCCAAGGGGCTGCAGCCCCTTGGCGGGGTCTAGGGCAGCGCCCCTAGCAGGGCCCAAGGGGCAACGCCCCTGGTAGTGGTTCCATGCAATTTCCCGCCAAAACTTTCTTGATGATGTAAGCGTTAGTTATATATAATAACTACCGGTTTTGGCACCAAATCTGGAGGCAACTGTCATAACCTCTTTTCCCGCTAATATAAGAACCTTTCTCTGGTTCTAGAAAAAAGGGTTGGAACTCATATACACGAAAAGTATATTTTGTTCTCTCTATCTCTACAGAACACATAACAACAAGGTATATTTATGTGTTTTGATTTTGGAAGTGGCCTGATTTTCAAAATTGCATTTCTTGGATTATCCCAAATTGGATTTCATTATACCGCAGGCATAAGGGTTGAAATCACAGATTTTGGAAAGTGATTGCAATCACAATCCTAGATATTATCCAATTTAATTGATATTCTAAGACCCCAAAATCTTACATTCAAAATCCGTGATTTTGTGAAGAATATCAATGGCAGAATCGGTTAAAGACATGACTTCTAAATTCAGGAAGTTGGACAAGTTTGAAGGCATTGATTTTCGTCGATAGCAGAGTAAGATGCATTTCCTTCTTGCTACCCTGAAAGTTGTTCACATTTTGAGCACTCCTGCACCATAACAAATGGAGGATGAGACCCTTGAACATACCAGAAGAAGATGCAAATGGGGAAATGATGATTACATCTGTCGTAGTCACATCTTAAATGGTATGTCTGACTCTCTCTTTCACATCTATCAAAATCAAGAATCTGCAAAAGATCTGTTGGATGCCCTTGAATCCAAATGCATGGCAGAGGATGCCTCAAGCATGAAATTTCTTGTTAGTAATTTTAACAATTACAAGATGGTGGATTCAAGGCCTATGATGGAACAGTACAATGAACTCATGACGATCATGGGATAATTTGAACAACACAAAATGCAAATGGATGAATCCATTTCTGTCTCAAGTGTTATTGATCAATTTCCCCCATTCATGGAAAGACTTTAAACACATACTGAAACAACAAAAAGAAGGGTTGTCTCTAGTACAACTTAGCAATCACTTGATAATTGAAGAGGGTCTTCAAGCTCAAGAAAGTGGCAAAGGAAAAGAAAAGGAAGTTCCTGGATCTTCAGTGAACATGGTGGAAGATGATAAACATCAGAAAAATAAAAAAGGAAAAAGAAAGAAGAAAGATGACCATCACAAGGGTTCAAACAAAAAAGCAAACTTGTGTGTTGGAATGGCAACAAACCCGGTCATATGAAGCGAGATTATCGTTTGAAGAAGAACAAAAATGGTCCAAGCACTTCTGGACAAGGATCTAGTGATCAAGTTCCAAAACCACAAAGTCAAATTTTTATTTTTGAAATTAAAACTTTTGCTGTTATATATCATGTAACACTTATTCCTGAATCATTCTATGATCAGGGTGATGATCATGCATGGTGGATAGAATCGGGAGTGACAAGTCATGTGTGTAAGGATCGCTCTTGGTTCAAGGATTATGAAACACTAATTTTCAGGGTTTGCACCTTATTTAAAGACCTTAACACCCCATTGTGGCCTCCCTCGTCGCATCCCTTAGTCCAGCAAACCCTAATTCGTGATCTTGAGCTTTGTGAGTATGTGTGAGTGAAAAAGGAGTGACTCTTTGGTATTTTCTTGAAGGAGTGGAAGCTAGAAGTGCTTGGTTGAAGGAAGGAGATTTGGATCCAGAAGAAGAACTTCATTTCCAGTTCATTTGAGGTATAAAATTCTATACCTTGTCTATTTGTTTACTAGATCTCTTCATGGGGTAGTTTAGGGCCATATGGAGCATATTATGGAACCATTCATGGATGAAAGCATGTTTTGGGGTAATAACTTCAGATCCAGAGTCTTTGAGGGACTCCATGGCATAAAGGTGCCAACTTTATGGCAATGGGAGTCCCATGCATCATATGAACCACTTTTTAGGGCTTTTTGAGCTAAATAACTCATGCATGCACTTAAAGTTAGAAACTTTACATGATACATCGATCCTAGGGTACCAAATCTATGTTTTGGATGCATTAAGCCCTACTAAAATCGACTATATGGTTTTAGACTATGGGGGACTCGACTAGTTATTCATACGACTCGGCGAATTGGGTCGTGGTCCCTCAACCTTTTCTTTTACTGGGTAAACTCGTTGGGTCTAGGAGATGACTCAGCGAGTTGGACATGTTTTGGGCTTGAAGATTAAAGAACTCGACGAGTCCAAGGAATAACTCAGCGAGTTATGAACAAAATGTCCCGACTGTGTATGAAGTAAAACTCAACGAGTTCAAGGAGGAACTCGGCGAGTTATGAGTAAAAAGGTCTCGACTACGTTATAAGGAAGAACTCGACGAGTAGGGTCGGGGGTTTCAGAGTTTTACGAAGCATGGAACTCGACGAGTTCGTGAAAGAACTCGACGAGTAAGATCGAGATTTCAAGGTTTTATGGATTATGGAACTCGATGGGTTGATGGACCAACTCGGCGAGTTGAGTCAACCAGGATGTTGATTTTGACTTTGACCATTGACCAAAGTTGACCCTTAAAGGGGTTATGAGTATGAAAGAGTAATTAAAGGAGATTGTTATGTGTAGGAGTTTGAGAGGAGTTGATCCCAGCACCGAGGACAGTTCAACTACTTCACGACATCAAGGTGTGTTACCTTCCAGTAGAAGTGGGTCGAAGGCACCAATGACGACCCATTAGTAAGAGCTATAATAGAGATGATTGTCTTTGTGATAATTATCTGGTATGTGACTATCGGTTATGCTTATATGCTAGTATGGTATGATGTTATGTGATAGTGGTAGGAGGGGTAGGTTAGACCCCAGTACCAGTTGACAGGGCCGAAGGGGTATGCCACCACTCGGATAAGCTAGGCAGTATATGAATTATATGGTTATGTACTAGGATTCTATGTGGTAGAAGTAGGGGGTGATATAGTCCCCAATACCGGTCGAAAGGACCGAAGGGGTAGGCCAACACCCTGATATGCTAGGCAAGCTACTAGTCGACAGGACCGAAGGGGTAGGCGAACACCCTGATATGCTAGGTAAGTTACCGGTCGACAGGGCCGAAGGGGTAGGCCAGCACCCTGATATGCTAGGCAAGTTACCGGTCGACAGGGCCGAAGGGGTAGGCCAGCACCCTGATATGCTAGGCAAGTTACCGATTGAAAGAGACCGAAGGGATAGCTAGTACCCGGATATATTAGACAGTATGTGTCATGTATGGTATGTGGTATGATGTGGGAATTCACTAAGCTTTGTGCTTACGGTTTTCAGTTTTGGTTTTAGGTACTTCTTCTGCGAAGGGAAAGGAGCCGGCATGGTAGCAGCGCATCGCACACATGATTTTCCGCAGATGAGATTCTTGGGATTTGTACTCTGACATAGTTACTAATTTATGACATGCTTTTGAGAAATATGATCTATGGTTTTTATGAAATGAAATAACTTGATGATGTTTTCTTTAAATTTTTTTATGAATCCTTATATCAAAAATGGAATTTTTGGTCTAGAATTTTGGGACGTTACAAGTTTGTATAAGAGCCTTGGTTTGAGGGATTCGGACACACCTTCGGGGGTGTCTAGACTCAAATCGAGGGTTTGAAAGATTTTTCAAGAAAATAGTTTTTCTAAAAATGTAAAATAAAGTGTTTTGAAAAAGAACAAGGTGTGTGATGCGTGCAATCGGCCGAGCTCAAGTAAGTTTTCCCCAAGATACTTATACATGTTTGCTATGATATATGATATGAATATGAGAATTGCGTGCTAGATTAGGGCTAAGGATCTAGGAAGAATGTGTTATTTGCCTACTGTATGTGTATGAGAACTGCATGCTAGACTAGGGCTAAGGATATAGGAAGATGCCTGATATGCCTGTTGTATGTGCTTATTGAGCTGCATGATAGAACTGATTAGTCAGTAATCTGATAGCCTGAATAGGATATGCTGGGTTTTGTTACTCAATGCCCGAATGTTGCTTGCTTTGTGCTTTTAGGAGTTCAAGCTATCTTTAACGAACTAGTAAACGAATAAGTTCAGTTACATATTGTGATGACTAAA